TATATTATTAAATATTTATTTTAATTATATTATAAAATATTATAATTAACTAGCTTTTGTCATAATTCATTATCATTTATTAAAAATAGAAAAGCAAATTACAGATTTGGCCCCTATGGTTATAACAAAATTTTGGATTGAGTCCCCCAAACAAATTAATTACAAATATCATCATTATGATTTCAATTTTGTTTCAGATTCAATCCTTGCTCTGACTCTAATAACTTAGTTCCGTTAATTCAAGCCATTCGATCATTTTACATTTCCATTTAATTTCTTCTAAATTATATTATATATTCAGTAATATATATAAAACCGCATTACCACACCATCACTCCTCCCAGCATTGACTTATCATCCCCTCTGTCAACTGTACCCTCTTTTTGCAACTACCTTCACTCTTCAACCTTTCTCCAGGTGCTCTGATAGGATTCGTACGAGGATGTGTGAATCTCTAATCCATCCATCCATCTTCTCGTTCCTTGCATAGCGTGCTTAATTTATTTCAGGAGCTGAGTTCAAGTGCCGATTTACAGCTCCAACTCACGACATGGGACTGTGTTCATCGTGGGAAGAGGGGGTTATGTTCATCGATGGTAGAGGTGATGGACTGATTTATCAATTTACAGAGGAAAGAGGGGGTAGTATTCATCGATGACAAAGTTGTAAAGCTTCTGTTTCTTGCAGATGCTGAATTTATTTCAAGGGTTGATTTCAAATACCGATTTACAGCTCTGATTCACGACAGGGGTTGTGTTCATCGACGGCATAGCTGGAGACGATGGAGTTGCCGGAGATGGGTTGGGGACGGCGACGGTAATGGGGGGGGAGGGGTTTGGGTTTTATGTTTTAAGGTTTTTCCTTTTTAAGGCTTTAAAAATGCACAGAAAACATCAAAATGTGTATAACAAACCAGTTTTAAAGAAAATCATGAAATGATGATGAAATTTAATAATTTTAAAATAAAATGTAAAAAGACAAAGATATCGTTGATTTAACTAAAACTAAATTAACAAAATTATATCAAAGACCCAATCAATAATAAAAATAAAATGTATATAATTATTTGTTTCGAAGGACCCAATAAAATTATTATATAATCAGAAGGACGAAATTTGTAATATACTGGAAATAAGAACAAGATTACTTGCAAAAAGTCAATTCAACATAAATCCCATTAAATCTAACTTCAAAAAGTATTATTTTTATATATATTTTTTTATTAATCTGGATATCCAACCTGCTGCTATGCGAGTCGATTAATCTTAAAACGATCATCTGTTTTGCAGATAGTTTGGAGTCATCGCATTTGAACCTCCATGACCACAAGAGGATTTTTATTCCTTCTTGGATTTGAATCTAGGAGTCTTAATACTTTTGACCTTTGAAGTCAAGCTTAAACCAATCAGACACCATCGATTATTATTTTAATATTTTATTTGCCTTCGTAAATGTAGAGAGAGAAGATTTTGACTCCATGTCTTAAATGAGAGCTGTACATCAAGACTTGTTACTGTTTTGCTTTTCATGAGACAAAAGGGTGTGTTGCTGCTGCTGATAAAAGGTAGTCTCTCCCCCTCTCTCTCTCTCTCTCTCATACCACCAGCAGATGGAAAAAGAAGGAAGTTGTTCAAAAGAAGAAGAATTAAGACCAAGCAAATTGAAAAGAATATGTGTGTTTTGTGGGAGTAGACCTGGTTTCAGATCTTCATTCACTGATGCTGCGCTTGAACTTGGTCAAGAACTGGTAATCCATGATCAATCCATGTGCATATTTATATATACCTACATACGTGTGTGTGTATATACATATATATATATATATGCTGATATTTTACAGATTTTTCTTAATTCGCATCCCAAGACAAGAAAGTGGGTCCGATTGTTCGTCTGTTATGCATCGAACCCTTGATCATCTTGAAAAAGTTTGAAGGAATTAATCCGCGCGACTGTAATTGCATTTATATAGATTGTTGACCAGTTTTTTAACTTACATATTATATTTGTCATCAGGTTAAAAGAGAGATTGGGTTGGTGTATGGTGGAGGAAGTGTTGGTTTGATGGGATTGATCTCTCAAACTGTCTTTAATGGAGGTTGCCATGTTCTTGGGTAATATACATACTATCCCACACATGTATAAACTATATATCTATCTATATATATATATATGCATTGTATATAATTATATATGTATTATAAACAGATGAATCTAAGTTGTTCAGTTAATTATACATTGTATCTACACATAATTAGTTCTCATGAGAAAAGGTATACATATATATGATATATATTCTTAAACACTAATTTGAAACTAAACCTCTTAACAACGAGTAAATTCGTGCAACCCATAATACAAGATTCCATATTAATTTACTTTGTTTTAAACATGCTTTAATTAATTAGTTAATTTTGCTTGGTTAATTTATAAGTGATCATATTAATTAGTATACAGGTTTGAATAATCAAACAAGCTTAATTAATTAAACCCATATATAATTAAGTAAATTATATAACCCAGTACTAATGTTAATTATTTCATCGTATTTGATTGGTTTATTAATCATCATATCATTAGCTTTTTTTTAACTAATTACCCTCATTTATATATATACATACGTACATATATATATATACATATATATATATATATACATATATATATATATATATATCAAGCCTGTTCCCATCAATTAGGGTTTTCCATGAAAGAAGTAATTAATTAAGGTTTATATATGTCTTAATTGTTTTCGTATGCAGAGTGATACCTAGAGCTCTCTTGCCCCATGAGGTACAAGTATAGCTAGCTTCTTGGTAAATTAAACTGAAAAATAATTTGGAAAATTTGAAAATTTTCAAACGGGTTTTTTAAATTGGATCGATAGATATCAGGAGAAACAGTTGGGGAGCTAAGAATAGTGGCAGATATGCATCAGAGGAAGTCTATAATGGCGGAAAATGCTGATGCTTTCATTGCACTTCCTGGTATGTATGTATATATGTATGGGGTGTGTGTGTGTATATATATATATAATTGAGTTAATTTGTTCAATATAGATATTTTAAACTGCATCTCTTAACATATAAAAAGAAATCTCATTCAGTGATCCATGAACATCATGTATGGATGGTTTGTATGTATACTTTTTGAAAATAAACGAAACCAAGACTCAATTTTCAACACCATATGTAAGTGTAAATCACAGTTTTCAATACCATTTTTCATCAGGATCTGAATGACAACAACAGAAAGTTTATACAGCAACTGCATGCCTGTTAGCCCTCAATATGCATACCACAAAACACAGTTTTTTCAAACGATATATCGTTTTTTAATGCTTAATCATAAATACTCGATAAAGATCTTCATAGAAACAGTTCTCGCTCTATCCTTCACTATAACGAAAATTTGTCTATATGCATTCCACTCACATAGATCTATTTTAAGTAAGATATAATATAAAGCTCATTTAGTTTGGTTTAGATTATTTTTTTTAATCAATATTTAAATGATAATGATCACCAATCATTTACCTCCACGTCAATAAAAGCTCTTAAATATATATATATATATATATATATATATATATGATCATATTGTTGTTTTCATATTATTTTTGTTTATGTTTTGCTAAAAGTCAAAACATTTTGTTTAGGAGGGTATGGAACCATGGAAGAGTTAATGGAGATGATCACCTGGTCTCAACTTGGAATCCATGACAAACCAGTAAGTTTAATATTTTGTTTCTAAATACTATTATATATTTATCAGGACAAAATTTGATTTTTTTAACACGTTTTTAATTCAAAAATATCATATAAAAATAATAAATTGAGTCATGTTAAATTTGTGCAACTTTGTTCTAACAAATTTTTATTTTATAAAAATATAACTTGACGACATACGCGGTTGTTGTTTTTATAAACTTTACGTTTAATTAAATACTTTATTTGTCGTAGTTGTTTCAATTTTAATTAAATAGCATAAATTGTGTGTGAGTTTTCGATAATTTGAGCAAAATTTGAAGAATTACTGAAAACCTCCAAAATGGCATGTAAAATTAGAAAACGTATTTTCAAAGAAAACGTATTTGTAAGTTATTAACACACACGTGTGTATATATATATATATATATACACTCTTAATTAAAGTGAAGGTAAATGTAAGATTATCAATATATCATGTACAATTACAAATCAATAGAAAATAAATTAATAATACAATGAACAATGAAATAAAAGTATAAATAACAAAAAAACAAACAAGAAAAAAAGGTAACAAATAGAGGTTGAATGTTTCATTTACTAAAATCACATAATTAAATTGCTAATTATATAAAAGCGATAAGATATGTGAGGAAATCATTTTTAATCCTTGATATGTAACGTAATCTAGTTATCAATTTTCTTTATAAAAAGGTAGACGAAAGTAGCAGCCCCCCATGTCTTGTCCTAATTTGATAATATGGCTTATGGTAGCAGACCCACATCAATAATTATGATTTTATGTATAGATAATTCCTCGAAAAAAGAATTTGTTCGTTTTTTAGGTTTCGGAATAAATCCAAACACATTGAGTACACCCCGATAGATGACCATATAGCACTTTGTTCAATTAATAAAACAAATTTGTTATGTATATATTGATCTGATATATTATAAACTAACAATCAAATAAGGATAATTAATCGACTAGAAATGCTAATTACTTTTATTTTTTAAATGAAAATGGTTAATTACAGGTGGGGTTGCTAAATGTGGATGGATACTATAACAGTTTACTTGCTTTGTTTGACAAAGGAGTAGAGGAAGGTTTCATAGAAGTTTTAGAAAGAAAGATTATGGTTTCAGCTGATACTGTACAAGACTTGATCAGTAAAATAGAGGTAGATTGAAAATACCTTTTTGGGTTTTAAAATAAATGATACATTCGTTATTGCATGTATAAATATTGAGTTTTAAAAGAAATCAAACATACCCACGAGGCAAAAACACAATAACAGTAATAACACATTATACTGATTTTTGCATCTTGACTTACCTTAGTATTAATCCTTTACAAATAGTGTTTTTAAACGTATCCTTAACAAGTAGTATTAAATTTTTTCATTAGTCATTTTAAAAACACTTATCAGAATTATATGTGCTAGATTTTTCAAGTGTCGTTTAGAAAGACACTTTTATTAGCACTAGCAGCATACAGTTTTACTCCACCCTTAATTACCGATCCTAATTTTCAATTATTGAAGCATTTTCATGTTAAAATTTGGATAAAAGTTTTATATCTCGAAAGGGCAAAATGAGATATGTAACCATCATAACTTGTTAAAAAGATACTGAGATGATTATCATATATTAGATGATTAAAAAATTCATTTATTTTCTATAATTCAAATTTATGTTTTAACTATAAAATGTATACCTATCACCACTTTAATTATTGATAAAGATAACCTAATTATTTTTGGGAATATATAATTTACAATAATTAAAATGAAATAGTACTGGATTTTGAATTTAATAGTAAAAAATGCAATTTTTTAATTAAAGAAAACACATATTCTGATTCATGCTATATATAGGCATACATAGTACACATGTGATGGTTGTTAAGTATTGGGTATGGAGGAAAAGACTTTTGTAAGCATATTATATATAGATTTTCTGTAACAAATATTAATAGAAATTCATGTTTTAAAGTACAATTTAATTTATTGTTTCTAAACCCTAATATCATACCCTTTTCCAGAGCCTAAATTCATAACTCCAAACCAAGTACAAGTATAAATGCATCACATATAAACCATTATAACTTGATAATTTAGAATTTAGAATTTGTTATGATGGAGAAACAGTGGATTTGTACATTGACATTTATATATTTTGTAGGAATATGTGGCTGTGCATCAAGGGGTTGTACCCAAACAAAGTTGGGAAATGGGCCAATCATCATTAGCCTAAATCCAATGGTATATATATATATATAGTATATATATGTATTATATGATGTTTGAATCATTCAATCTTAAGCCAAGTTAATTGTTTTCTTTATGATTGAAAATGTCATATTTAGAACAATACTCTTATAATAATATGTACATCATGTAGTAAAACTTGTACCATTTAACTCTATGGGGTGTGTGTGTGTATATATATATATAATTATAATGTGGTGGGGATGTAGTTCCATTTTGATCATAAAGAAAATGACATCAAAAGGCAAGTAAAAGCAAAGTTTATTCTCTATCTTTTGTGGCTCAATCCAAAGTGGGGAACCCTTCAAGATCCCAAATCTTTAATCATCCACTTGAAATTATTATGATTTGTCTTCTTGTAGTTCCATTTGAATATGAAGAAACTTCTCTTTGCCTGACCATTGACCACAAATAAATCAAATCCCCCTGCCCAATTGAACTTTGCCCAACAAATGCTTTTGGTCCTTTGGCTTTTGCAATTATGTTTTATGTTTGTTTGATGAATCATTTTGTCCTTTGTTAAGTCTCTTTCATTGCAAACATGCATTATGATAGGGCATGTGTTGCATGTGGAGGTTTTGGTAGGTAAATTGTAAAAACCTGACCGATTTCATAAATTATTGTACTGATAGAGACAAGAAACAACAAAGATTGCATAATTCATGGTTATCTTATGTAACACCTCAATATCCACATTTGCATATAACTATGTACTTCATATATCAAGAAATACAAATAATACACATTCGGTCCCAACAGTTATAGGAAACTATATTACATAATTGACAACTAAATTTTCCATAAAATTCTTGTACATGACTTGTATCTATAACAAGTATTCCAAAAATCCAACAGATAACATGTTGATCTTCATAACCATGTAAGCATAAAAGGAAAATTTCACATTTTCCCCTTCCCCTTATCTCTTGATCAAACCTGACCTGCAATGCACATTTTTTAAACACAAAATGAGGGTTAGACCTGGAGGTTTACTGAGAAACATTTTTTTGCAATTACAAGGTGAAAATTCACCAAACTTGTTTTAAAATCACCTTTGTAAACACACATACACACAAACACACGTGTATATATATATATATATATATATGTGTGTGTGTGTGTGTCCTCTTAAGAAAATATAACTCCAATATCGCAATAGATTATGAGTTATAAATTTGTCGCACATAGAATGTGACCACTCAGGTCCTTACATCATTTTGTGCATGATTACCAAGAGTTCCTCTGGCTCTTAAGGACCAAAGCTCATATGATTCTTTAGGATTAGAGCTCCTCTGGCTCTTAAGCCAGAGCAAAGCCAAAGAAAATAAAGTTACTAAGGATTTTAATCATGAAATCCATATCATTCTTGAAAATGATATAAACACGTAATATAACCAACCAGAGCTTCTCTGGTCACTCAACTTATTATAAAGAAATCCAGAGTTAAGTCAACCAGAGCCCCTCTGGTCTACAGCTTTCAAAAATAACTAAGGATGCATGACCAACCAGAGGCTCTCTGGATGGCCAAAACCTCTGGTCCGTCTAAAGTAAAACTTATGGAAAATATGATGAGATATAAGACAAATGAGATTTTAACATAACCAGAGACCCTCTAGTAAAATATGAAAGTTAACCAAAGCCTCTCTGGTTCTCTATTATAGTTGTAAAAGATCAAATTAAAAAGATTTGACTTATAAAGTTGTATGAAAAACTAAGAGTTTAGATACATAACTCATATACAGAGCTTGTACTTGTTAAATTTTATGATACAGAGCCTTTAGGTCAAAATGAGTTTTTGAAACACTTGAGATTTTTCCACCCCAACTAGATGCCTTCTGGTTAGCCTTAAAAACCAACCAAAACCCCTATGCTTCCTCATCAAAACTTTATTTTATTGAAATAAATCAAAGCATAACACCCGGATTAACCCAAAAATACTATTAACTCAAAAACAGACAATCATAGGCTCTTTGGTTATAAACCATTTTCCTCCTCTACATAACAACATTGTTATCATATCAATAGAAAAATAATTGCAAGTCCTCACATCATAGAGAAGTGATAACTCAAGATCATTACATCTTATGGATGTAATAACAAGATGTGTGATCAAAACTCAGATTTCACAATTGCCACTTTTATCCAAAGGTACACCTCTCCTTGATATGTCACCATTATCCTATGGTACACTTCTCCTTGATATGCCACCCTTATACCCTCATAAAAATTTAACCAAAACTGTCATTTTTGCCAAGAATGGCATCAAAATAGTTTCATTACAGAAACTTTATATTAAGAACTTTCATTGTTCTAAATCAAGTTCAATATCAACTCAAAATAGATTTTATGAACAGTTTATCTTTCTCAACTCAAAACAGCTTCAAAAACCAGTTTATATTACTTACACATAAACATCAACCAGTTCAAGTATTTTAAATACTAAACATATAAAATTTAATAACAAAACTCACCTTATATGTATGCAAGGATGGATCTTACAACAACAAATTCCAAATATGACCACATAATCAATTCAAACAGTTTCACGCAGTATATCACACAAGAAACACACAACAACTTTTTCTCTCTATTTCCTTTTCTCTCAAAACAGAATAGGTAGGTATTGCCAGACTCGATTCTGCCAAACACTTTCGCAAGTTAGAAACATGGAAAATGTTATGAATTGAGCTAAGTTCATCCGGTAATTCTAACTGATATGCAACCAACCCGACCCGTTTACAAATTATGAACGACCCAATATACCTTGGACTGAGTTTACCTATTTTTTCAAATCGAACAATACCCTTCCATGGAGAAACTTTTAACATAACGAAATCTCCCACCAAAAATTCAATCGGTTTATGGCGCTTATCGGCATAACTTTTCTGTCGGTCCTGGGCTGTTTTAATACGTTCACGTATCTGTTCAATCTTTTCAGAAGTTATTTGAACAATTTCTGGAGGTTAACTGTCTTTCCCCTACTTCATTCCAACACAATGGCATGCTGCATTTTCGGCCATATAAAATCTCATAAGGTGGCGCTTGGATGTTGGGGTGATAACTATTATTGTAAGAGAATTCAATCAAAGGCAGATGATTTTCCCAAGATCCCCTGAAGTCAAGAATACAAGAGATCAACATATCTTCAAGGGTATGGATTGTTCTTTCCCTCTGCCTATCGGTTTGAGGATGATACGCCGTACTTAATCTGATTTGAGATCCCATGGCTCTTTGAAAACTCTCCCAAAACTTTGAGGTAAACCTACTGTCCCGATTTGAGATGATGGATAACGGAACACCATGTTGAGTCATAATTTCTTCGATATAAATCTTTGCCAACCTTTCTAATGGATAGTTCTCTTTAGTCGGCAGAAAGTGCGCAGATTTAGATAAACAGTCTATGATAACCCATATAGCATCCTACCCTTTTGGAGTTTGCGATAATTTCCTGACAAAATCCATCGTGATATGATCCCATTTTCACACAGGAATTTTCAAAGACTGTAAATTCCCACATGGTCTTTGATGCTCGATCTTTACTTGCAGACATGTCAAGCACCATTCTACATATCTTGCGATGTCCTTCTTCAGTCCTGGTCACCAATAAAACGGTTTTAAATCTTTATACATTTTATTAGTACTTGGATGAATCGAATATCATGATTTGTAACTTTAATCCAAAATTAACTCCCGAATATTCCCGAAACGCGGTGCCCAAATTATGCGTTGGAAGCATATAATTCCTTTGTCATTCTTTATCAGTATTGAAATCGTCTTGCCAACTCTTTCCACTTTGAGGTTGTTTTATTTGATAACTTCATCTTGACATCTTGAAATTTCATCGTGAAGATCCGGAGTCAAATTTGTTTTCAACGCAAATGCTTTGATCGTACCACTTCTTTCTTTACCGCTAAAAGCATCAGCTACCACGTTGGCCTTTCCTGGATGATAAAGAATTTTGCAATCATAATTGTTAACCAATTCAATCCATCGTCGTTGTCGCGTATTCAATTCTTTCTGATTAAACAAGTGTTAGAGACTTTTATGATATGTGAAAATCTGAAATTTAGTTCCCAACAAATAATGTCTCTAAATATTTAATGCAAATACCACAATTGCAATCTCCATATCGTGTGTCGGATATTGTTTCTTGTGATCTTTTAACTGTCTGGATGCGTAAGAAATAACTTTTCCTCTTTGCATCAATACACAACCCAAACCTAGTTTTGAAGCATCATTGTACACAACAAAATCTTCATATCCATCTGGTAATGATAAGACTGGAGCACTGCATAGATGGCCTTTCAATAACTGAAAAGCTTCACTCTTATCTTTTTCCCATTCATACTTGACATTTTTCCTGGTTAACTTGCTTAATGGCGCATCAATTCTTGAGAAGTTTTGAATGAATTTCCGATAATAGCCTGCTAAACCCAAGAAACTATGAAACTCGGTAGGAGTTTTCGATACTTCCCATTTTTCAATTACTTCGATTTTTGCAGGATCTACTTTTACCTCTGCCTTAGAAATAACGTGACCCAAAAATTGAACTTCTTTTAACCAAAACTCACATTTGGACAGCTTGGCAAATAATATTTCTCTCTTCAACAGCTCGAGAATTAGACGAAGATGTTCAACATGCTTCTCTTTAGATTTTGAGTATATAAGAATATGATCAATAAACATAATAACAAATTTATCAAGATATTCATTACATACCCGATTTATTATATCCATGAATGTTGCTGGAGCATTGGTTAAACCGAAAGGCATAACCAAAACTCATTATGTCTGTATCTGGTTCAAAATGTTGTTTTGGCAATGTCCTCGTCTCTAACTTTTAGCTGATGATACCTCGATTGTAAGTCAATTTTAGAAAAATAACTTGCTCCAACCAATTGGTCAAACAAATCATCGATTCTTGGAAAGAGATATTTGTTCTTGATTGTCATCTTATTCAATTCTCTGTAATCAATACACATTCTCATAGACCCATCTTTCTTTTTAAAAAACATAACCGGAGCACCCTAAGGTGAAGTACTTGGTCTAATGAAGCCTTTATCAAGCAAATCTTTCAACTGTGTTACCAATTCCTTCAATTCAGATGGTGCCAAGCGATAAGGTGCCCTAGCTACCGTTGCTACTCCTGGTATTAAATCAATTCTGAATTTGATGAATCAATCTGGTAGTAAGCCAACCAGATCTTCTGAAAATACTTCAGGATATTCACAAACCACAAGAATAGATTCTTGCTTATTCTTTTATTTCTTTGAATCAATCACGTAAGCTAAATACCCTTGACACCCTTTTCAAAAACAATTTCTGGCTTTCATGACAGATAACAAACTGGTATAATGATCCCGTCGATCACCATAAATCACAATCGACACTTTTTCCGATAAATTAATATTGATCATCTTTTATTGCACACAATATTGGCTTGGTTTTCTGCTAGCTAATCCATTCTTACTACTACATCAAATTCTTTCATCGACATCAAAAACAATTGAATTGGCAGCCCACATCCCTCAATTTCAATTCGATAATTATTAAAAACACGGCTAACAGATACTTGACTATTATTAGCAATATCAACTACTAAAATATAGTCAAATGGCATAGAATTCACGTATGAACACCCCATAAATAGTGGCGTTACAAAAGAATAATTTGCACCAGAATCAAACAGCACTTTAGCATATACGGAGTTAATGAGAAAAGTACTTGTTACCACGTCTGGAGTTGTCTCGGCCTCATTTTTGGTCATTTGAAAAGATCAGGCCCTTACCCCTCCCGGACCTCCTCTCTGAACATTAGATCACCCACGTGTACTTGGAGCATTTCCTCCCGTGGTTAACCTTGGAACTCTTAATTGAGGACAAGTCGGTCGAATATGGTCAGGGGAATTACATTGAAAACATTTCTTAGGAGTTGGATAGTTTCTGGATAAATGAATTGTCTCACCACATTGATAACATTCCTTTTTATCAGTACTACAATCACCCTGATGAACTCGGTGACATCTTAGACACGTTCTTTTCGCAAAACGTTGAATAGGACGGTTCTCCATTTTTACAAAATTTGGCTTTTTGAAACTGGTTGAAGATCCTTCCCACTTTCTTTTCTCTACCACTTTCTCTTCCCCTTGCCTTTTTTTTATGTGGTTTCAGCAGCATCTACTGCTATTGGAAAGGTGACATGACTCATTGCAATTACAAACTCTCGTATTGAAGGTTTTAAACCCCAAATATATCTTTCAACTTTTCGAGATTCTGTAGAGATATAATGTTCTGCAAATTGGGAATGTTCAATAAATCTCAGTATATTCCCATATTGTCTGATTACCTTGTTCCAACTTCAAGAATTCTTTTTCTAATTGTCTGACTGTCCGCTTTTGGAAAAAAAAATTCTTTAAATCGATCAACAAATCATGACCAAGACATAGTTTGCAGGATATCTGGTTTAGCTAATGATTCCACATCCCACCAATATAAGGCATTGGATTTCAACATGGATACTGTAAATCTGACTTTATCTTCCTTTGGAAATTTCCTGGTGTTGAACACAGATTCTATCTATAATATCCGTGTTTCGTTAACTCGTACAAATTGGGTTAAGAGAATTTTGGTAGAATTATGCATAATATATTTGTACCCTATGCTTAACCAATTTGTACCTTAGACTAGCTTTGCGTCAAAATGTGTTTCTACCTATATTGACGTAAAGTTGAGAATTTAACTTGAAGGGTAAAAACCGTCAAATAGTTAAACTTTATATATATATATATATATATATATATATATATATATATGAGGCGGTTAGGTTTTTTTTTTTAAAAATATAATTATATATATATTAGGTATATGAGGCGGCATCACCGCCCTCAAATCTCAACCTCATATATCTCTTTCTCTCTCTCAATTCTCTCTCTAAAATGTCGTATTCTCTCTAGATTTTACGTCAAGTTAGTAAGGGGATCGAGACAACAATTATATATTCGGAATCCACTCTCCGAACCCTTCTTAAAGGTATAAGTTTCATTCAGTTTCATTAAGGTGTTTATTTTAGGATTGTTTAGATCGGTTTATAAACTGTGTTTATATCTAAGTTTACGGATTGATGTTATCAAAAACCATGATATATTTGATGTTTAGAATGCTRGAACTGGTTATATTGATGTAGAAATGAAAATGGTATATTATCGTTTCAATATGGTTAGATTGTGGGTAAATGTTTAACCGTACACCAATTGTTCGGTTAAATGTCGAAAGGAGTAAAAATGCATGATTAAGCTTGGGTTAACRACCGTTAGACTTGTTTTACTGTTTAGTATGTTTAAGTATATTATAGCATGTAAATGTAGCGAATCACGGAAGTTGGATCATAAAAGTTAGTCGGGAATTACGGAATCGAATTTTACCGACAATGTAACTCCCGTACTTTGACAGTGTATATCTCACAAACCGTAAGTCGGATTAAGCTCATATTTTGCAGTCAGGAAGATCATACTGTATACTACAACTTTCATTTAGACAGTATAGTCTTGATTGGTCTCTAAGGTAGGTAAAAATGCTTAGAAATAAGAGGGTCGGAAACAGTTGGATCGAAAGGGAATAAGGTTAAGTTCTACGTTTAAGTTTTCAATTCGTATCCAGCTGTCCTTCTTGAAGTCTACGTTGTTTAAGTAYRTTAAGACMTAAGTAAYTWYAATAGAATAATTATGTTTCGGTTTTTATGCTTTGTAAATAGTAACCGGTTATGCATTCGTTAGGCACGCGGGCAAAAACAAACTTGATCGTGAATTTACATTTGATCGTGCGTTAATTGTCAAATTCAGTTAAGGTACGAATTTCATATCTCACTTGACATGGGAATAGCCATTTGCATAAGGCTTCCTAATTCGGATTATCTGTGATAAATTCCGAATAATTTGTTCTGAATTTCCTTTATGCTTATCAAATGTTATTGAACTTTGATTCCTTTTGAATTACGACTTATATTCTTATTCGGAATATGGATCATTTTGATCACTTGACTTGTTTTATTGCTTCATTTATGAAACATTTTACTATAGACTCAATAACTGGAGCACCRGTATTGAGATGTTTCCATGGTGACTAAAACGATCATGGCGTCCTTATTTTATAAGTCCTTAAAAGTGGACTTGATTATGTACCGGTCGAATAGAGGGCGTATGGATCGATCCTAGGAACCGTTATCGGATATTGATTTGTGGCCGTGGTTAAATTCACGGAGAGGATTGTTGTGTTGTGCTTACACCCCTTTCCTCACTTGTGCCTGAATGGACTGATCATCCTTTGGGAACAACGCATCCTCGTGATGCAGTTTGTTCTTCGGACCCTTGATATGCTTTTGGGGCATTTTGACTTTCTTTTGGATATCATTTGGCGTTATCAATTGTTTTTGAACTTGTTATCTCATATTCATTGTTTAGTTATATTATTATCCGTTCACTGAGCATTAAGCTCAGCCGAGATTTTCTTGTCCTCGGCAGGTACATGACTTAGCAGTGATTTTGGGGTGAGAGCTACGGAGATGACAATATTGAAGATAACTCATTAAGTCATATTTTTGTTAAACTTTTGATGACTAATGTAGACATGCTGGTATTTTGGGACCGTATTTTGAGACACGTTATCTCCGTTTGTGGTTATGTAATTATCTTTTGGTAAATTTTATTAGATGCTCTGTTTTATATAGCATATGTTTGTTTTATTCCAATTGTGGCATCTCCCGTCTTTGACCACGCGGGACGGGGGTGTTACAAGTTGTGGTATCAGAGCTATAGGTTATGATCCTGTAGTAYAATTTAGGTTTGATCTGTGAGGAATGGGTAGAACTAAGATAGGARTATCCTAAGTCTTATACATGTTAACTATTTGAAATCTCGTATGTTTTGTTTCTTTTGAAATTAACTGAGCAAGTGGTTTTCCTATTATTTGTGTTAGTTCCAAATGCCGCCAAGAAGAATACCGGCAATAACAGGTAGACCCAGGAGAAACCAAACTGGATCTGAAAATG